CAGTTCTCACTCAGCACAAGAGCTGATTTAGATTTTGGGGTGGGGGACAAGGTAGTAAGATGGTTTCTCCTAGCATGGGCTAGCTTCAAATGTGAACTCCTGGCTCCAAGCTGGGATTATAGGTGTGTACCACCACACCCAGCCTGGTTTGTCTTTTGGATATGACTTGGAGCTCTACAGATGTAAAGACAGAAACAATTTGAATTCTACTAAATCTGGTCTAAAAAGATAACAAATTTTCCCCATAAGGTGATAGCTGAGATAGGTTTTGCAGGTGACTGACTGAGAATTAAGGCCATTGTGAAAATACTCACACTGCTAAGTGAATACAGCATAAAGAAGAAAGTTGGTCCTGGCCTACATAGAGCTGGGCAGATGGAAATACCGGCCAATGGAAAGAGGCAAGTGAGAGGGAAACTTGCCTGCTCAACTCTTGTCACCTCTGAAACTTCCCTTGTCCTCCATTCACACAGCAATCCCAGTCTCCAATATTGTAACAACAACAACAACAACAAAAAACACCCTTGGATTTTTAAAAGATTTTTAAAAATTATGTGTGTCTGTGTGGTGTGTGTGTGTGTGTGTGTCCCTGTGAATGCAGGTTCCTGCAGAGGCCAGAGGGATTGAATCCCCAGGAACAAGAGTACAGACGATTGTGAGCTGCCAGCCATGGATGCTGGGGCCTGTGGAAGAACAGTGTGGGTGGGCTCTTAATCCTGAGCTGCGTCTCCAGCTCCTGATTGCCTTTCACATCGGCAACACTGACAGCCTTCCTTTGAACTGTGGTGCTCTATAATGTTGTAGTAGCAGGAGCCCAGAGGCTTCGGAATTTCACACATTTCCAAACACAGAAGGAACCAGAGGCTTAGGAGTGGCGAGCACAGGAGAGACATCCTGGAGAGGGGGTGGGGGCTGTAGAAGCACAGGTGAGAGGAAGTTCCTGTGCATATCTGGAAGTGAACAGTGCAAGTTTGCCCATGGCAACGACACTTGGAGAAGTGGATAATGAAATCAGGAAAGGACCCAGAGGAGGTTTAGGTAGCGCTGGAGTTCAGGGCTTCTGTCATGGTAAGCAGGTACCTACCCACTAAACTACACCAGGAACTACACTGTCAGTGCCAGGACCCTGGCCGTTAGGGAACCACATCTGATGAGTGCACACAATAGACTCATTATGTAAACATCACCTAAAGAATGGAGGGAAGTATACTGGTGTCTCTCAGAGATGAAGAAAACGCTGAACAAGTTGTACCCAACCATGTAGTTAATGTTTAAGCAAGTGTTGAATGTTTCACTGAGCCCTGATTTAATGCAACAAACTGGTCCGAGAAAAATATGACTAAGACATGGTCTTTTGTTAGTTAAATAATGTGTAACACATCTGTAAATTAGCTTTGAAAAACAGTCTCATTGGGTAACCTTGGTTTCCCTCCAGTGCTCAGTCCTCCTTTCTCACTCTACTGAATGCTGGGGTCACAAGCAAGCACCATTGTACTCAGCAAGCACAGCAACTCTTCGGTGTACTAGTTGGAAAACTCTCCACATTCAAATGTTAAAAAATGAAGATATAATCCCAGCACTAGGGAAGGAAGAGGTGTGAGGACCAGGTTCAAGGTCATCCTCTATAGGTGGAGTTCCAGGCCAGTGTGGCTTACCTGAGGCCCTGTCTCAAAAAAATAAAGAGGGCTGAAGAGATGGCTCAACTTTTACTGCTTTTGCCAAGTTCAGTTCCAAACACTCCAATCAGGCAGCTCACAACCACCTGTAACTCCAGCTCTCTGAAGGCCCCTGCACCCAGGTGTGTATATTCCCACAGACATTCACATATACACAGTGAAGGGACCAGCTTCCCTTTTGGCAGCCATAACGGCCGAACACGTGCTTCTATGACCTTGACCTAGACACTAGAAAGTCAGATGCCTGCCTCGTGACAAGGAACCAATCAGAAGTTAGCTGGTAGCGCTATGCTTTACGGCTCTGGGTGTGCTTTACAGACAAGCGCACAGCAATGACATAGAGAGCATAGCAACCACCCTGGGAGGGCCTCCAAGCCTTGGAGGCACACCAATTGTGAGCCTGTGCGTACCCCTAGACACTCCCCTT